GTGAGGATGATCAGTGGTGCAGACAGTTTCCATGTTAGGAAGACTTTCCATGGTGTGTCCTTTCAGCTTGGAAAAGAGAAGAGTTACAGGGAGTGGAATAGGTAGAGGTCTTCTGAATCATGGGAGGCATGTAAGTAGGGATCGACTGATTGCCATCTCTTCCAGTATAAGAACTAAGGGTTGTCAAATGGCAATAGTCAGGGCCAGGTGCAAAACAAACAGAAAGGAGATTCTTTATGCAGCAGGCAGCAGATCTGTGGATCTCTTCCTGGAGAATCCTGTGGGTTCAAGAAGTTTAGACACGTTCAGGTGGAAACGATGTTTTTTCCTCTACCTTATCTATAAGTTTATACAAGCTTTTAAATTCAGATCAGGAGTGCATTTTTGAAGTGAACCTCCACTTAATATGCCTCACCTCACATCACCGAATGGTCTCATGTTGCACAAACTGGATTCCTTTCAGAAGAAACTAAACTATCCTGCACATTTGCCCTGATATATATTACTCTTCCTTAGCTGTCACTTATAGCCATGTTGGAGACAGCTTTTTGAGTGAAACAAATTCTTGGTCTGAACCAGTTTGGCCATTAGATGACCAGTGAAAGGTTCTCTGTCTCAGTAGGATATTGCAACAACAAAGTTATGCGTAATGGCCCCACGCACCTCTTCTGTTACTCAGTGAGGACACAAGGAAGTTTGTCTCAAGCTACATGACAAGGACAACATCTGATAATGGGGATCCTGTGATGGCAGAGTGGTGACCAATACATTAGGACACAGCAGAAGAGTATCTTCTAGAAGGGCCCCTCAAAGTGTTAGAGACCTGGTAGATGGAGTGTCATTTGCCTTCGATCCTAGCAATTCCATGCTGGAGACAGAGCTGGTCAACAGATTAAGGAATCAACCTCCTGATGCCATCTGGTGTGTCTGGAGATATTGTAGGGCTGCACAATGTGTCCCTGTGAGGGGTGATGTGGAGAAACTCTTGTTCCAAATGTAAGATCTGGTACGTGCAATTTCAGAAAGTGGCTGATGGCGTATACACGGCTTGGCACTGTGATCAGATTATTCCCTGCTGTAATTTAAAATTTGGATGCTGGGTGTTCCCTTGCAATTTTGCTCTTCTAAGTGCCCCTATGGAGGACATTATGAATGTGTTACGCACCAACCTGAAAGCGGAAGAATATGGAGAAGGACAAGCCAGCTGACCAAGGGAGGTTGAGGCAGTGGGGAACTCTTGCAAAGGTCTTACCCATTTAGAGGAATAACAGAGCTGGCCACCTCTGTGTTCTTCTTGTGACATTGAAATAACTGCCTGGGTGTTTCATGCCTCATGCTTTCCAAGTTATAATAGGCATAGGTAGGTAAAGGCATCGAATGAATGCAGGAAAATACAGGAAGCTGGGCGATCTGTTAGGCACTTGGCCAGTGTTGTATCCAGAAGACCAAGTTGATGCTCTGTCAAAACCCATTGGAATTCACCTTTATTTAGCATAAACATGGAATAAGGCAGTGGCAGAGGAAGGGAATGTAAAATGGGTAATGTAGAGGGAAGCAGAGAGTTCAGAAGTGACAGAAGGTGTCCAAAAGGCAGTGAAGGCTTTGTTTCTGTTATGAATACTTCAGAGTATAATTATCACATAAATAATTATCAGTGAAATAACTAATTAGTGTAGACTTTTTTTACATAGGTTGAGCTCTGATCTAGGTTAAGCTGTTCCATTTGTTGTTTTCATTGTACCAAGGCAGTGGAAGAAGCCCTAATAGGCAGCATGACATAAATGTGTATAAGGGTCCTTATTTTAAATTTATATCAGATTTGATTGTCTGGATGAGCTATGGACTTGTTCAGATGTGGTCTGAACTTAATGTTAATTTATTGTGCTCTATCCCAATTAAGAAGCAGAAGCAAACAAAAGAATCCCAGCCACAGCAAAAGAAAGCTGTTTTAAAAAGGAAGACACGTAGCATGTATCGATGCCCTTAGGAATAACAAGAGAACCTTTCTCAATGGAAAGGTGAAGTTCTGCTCTTTAACCAAAAAGGTGAAAGAGAGGGGTTAGCACACGTCTTAGCAGAGAAAGTGCTGCCTTTTTAATTGCTCAGGCTAATAGAGAAAACAAGCTGAACAGTGTGATGCACACGCTATGTGTGTAAAATGTCAGTTTGTGGAGGATGTAAAGCTCGCAGCTGTCACAGTATGCGGTCCCGCCAAGCAGCAGACAGGATGCAATAGCTCTGAGTAATTTAACTCTTTCTTCTCCAAGGAGAGCTGTGGCTTCCTCTGCAAATGACCACAGGACTTCTGATGACAAAATGCTGCTCTCATCCCTATCGCTTTAACTCTAAAAATGTCAGGGCACATTATTTCCACCGCAGCCTCTGAGATCTTGCACTGAAACTCGTTTGATGGTTTTAATTCTGCTTGTGTAGGCAAATGTGGGTAGACAGTTTTGATTAATCGGAGCCTGCATGATTTCCCTCTCCCCAACTCTAATCTGTCAGCTTCTCTTCCCCATTACCCAAGACAAAATAGCTAATATTGTCTTTAAGGTTGAGTGCTATAACATTTATTTTAGATTTCTGCATCGTTCTGCTTCTGAAGCCTTGTTCATTCTGAAAATATTGCCCTTAATTTACAGGTATTTTCTCACTGAAAATCTTCAGTTGGTGATTCATCACTCTCTTATTTTCTGCTGTGTCGTATCTTTGGTGTACTGGCATGAATTAAATTCTGAAATACATCATGGTGCTGCCATTTCCCTGGCAGAACTGAACGGGGTCAGTGTCCGCTGTAGACGTGGTAAACCATTTAAAGTGCAACATATCAAAAGATTTTAAAAATCATCTCTGCTAAGCCTAGGTTGCAAGTT